TAATTCTCTTGGCTTCTTGAAGGACATTCAACGCTCATAAATAGATGCAGGCTCCCTTTTGTTTTGTTGTCTATCAAGATGACCCCCTAGTACTTCAGTAGTGTTGAGGTCTGAGCCCTTTGGAGGCCAATCAAAGCCTGATAATCTTCCATTATTTGTTGTTGCGTCCAGGTTTGGGATCATTTTCCAGCTGAAACAATGAAGCCACAGCCAATCAGACTAGATGACATTGCATCTAGATTTCCAACAATTTTGAGAAGATCCCCAACACCACTGGTTGAAATGCATCTGTAAAATGTGTTTTTGATGAAGATTCAGTGGACAGTAGATGGAACCACTGAAGGGCCAAATGCATATCTCAGGTCCAGTGTCAGTTCTTTGCTGGGATTTTTCCAGTTTCTTAAGGACATGACCTTTAGATACCATTCACCTTTTGTAAAGACAGACTGTACACCATACTGAGATATGCCAATTTTCTTTTTTTCTTTTTTTTTTTTTTGCTAAAAATCTTCAGGAATCACATTGCTGGTTCAAAAAATACAGTTTATGCCTGTCAAACTGTATTACCTTTGGTATCTTTTCATTGATTCAATTAAACAAATGGGAACAAGTTACGTGCTCTTGTGACAGGCATCTAGTAACAAAATGCCTAAAGATACAATTTTAGTTAGCTGTCAAGTTGTTATGTGTAGACACAATACACAATACCACAATTCCTCTGAAAATATTCAGGTACAAGGACTAGACTGAAAATAAGTGAAAAACCAGATAATATATGCAGAGAAAAACTATTGCTTAAAACCACAAATTTAAGAAAAATTGTGGCTCCTTGGAAAAGAAATATGAAGAAATAAAGACTATGCAAAAGTCTTGTAATTAGACTATTTATATGTAGATAAAAAAAATTGACACTACTGTTCATTGCATGTCGCTATAAACATGCTTTCAAATCTTTTTCTAGGTCAATGGAAGATTACCTTTGTGTCTTAGAAAACGATAATCAAGTATTTTGTGTACATTGCTGCTTTGTATGGGTATGTTTTTCTTTCTTTTTTAAAGAAGCATTTGTTCAGTTAATAAAAAAAAGCACGTGTCATAGGCAGTATACAAATTTTATTCAAATTTGAACAGTAATCAGTAGGATTTAACAAAGAGTTATTTATGTGAATTCCCATTGGATACAGTAGAAAAAGAGTATATATAGGAATATCACTGATTTAAAAATATCTGCATAGCCAGAAAGGAGACCCACAGAACCCCACAGGAAATGCCCTTGGCTTATTAGCAAGGCTGCATACTGACTATATGATCTTTTTCATGCACTTTATCCATATTTTTGCTCAAACATCCAATGAGACAGCAGGAAAAGGAAACGATGCAAACAACCCAACGACACCTGCAGGCCATTGCATTCTTTATCCGTGCAGCACAGCAGATGTAACACAGATATCAAGCTCCTATTCATGGCAGCTGCATCATCCTTTTGTGTGGAGTTACTCAGCCTTAACCAGCAGTGCTTTGGGAAATCCCGGCTGGAGAGCCCACTCGAGGAACAACAGAAGGTGGCAGCACAACACTGTCGAACAGATTCATGAAAGCAATATGTCTGACAAGAATGACACGCGATTACCTGCTAATTTCTCAGCCTGTATAGCAGCATCAAAATGATCTAAAGGTCATCACGATGTAAACATTGTGGTATTGATTGTATTATGGGAAGCATCGATGCTGGTAGATTATCAGTATGTGGCGAGAAACAACTGGCACGTTAATGTTCAACTGAGAAAGGTTTCACAGAAATACGTGCACAAAGAAACATACCTGTGCTCAGAAGTGTTGCAACTATGATTAATCTTATACTTTAAAATGTTATGCAACCCAGAAAAGTACCAGGAAGCAAAATAAACAATTGGGTTATTCTTTAAAGTAATAAATTATAAAGATATATACAAATATTATCATTAAGAATATTTACAATTAGGTTTCAAGAAGCCAATTTTTTTTTGCTATACCTGCCACCGTGGTCACGGGAAAGCTTTGTAGTCTGCCTCCTATAGGCATCGGGGAGGCATAACCATACTGCTGCTCGTTTATCATATTCAATAAGAACACAATGACAATATCTCCAGTGTAACATTGTCCTAAAACTTGCACTCATTAGTGAAATACTACTGCTGGTTAAAAATCGTCTTCATATCCATGAAGTTGAGAACTGCGCGGGGACATTCACCTGATTTTAATGCGAATGCTTGAAAGTAAATCTACAGATTAAAATGCATGCTGGTGATCCAATTGTGATCCAAAGGTGTACACAGATTATCCTTTAAGAAGAACAGAACAGCATAACCTCTGTTTAGATAACACAAGCTTCATTGTAAGAAAAGTCCAGAGTATTAAAATACACTTTTACACAGTAGAAGAGAGTAAAAAAGACATTTTTCATTGGCACAAAAATCCTCACAGAAGAATTCTTGTTTTCTCCATCCTGAGATGATCTTTAGTGATCAGTAGCCATTTATCTTTATAGATTAGGAAAAGTCACAATTAGCAAATAGAGACAGGGACGGCCTCTTTTCTTCTTTGCGTTGAGCTGTATGTTGGTCACAGCAATAACTCAATTAGTCCAGCTGGTCAAAGAGACTTTCGCATCACTTTCACATCACAAAATCTCACAGCAGTCCAGAAACAAGCCTCAATGTTGCACAGGGGAAGTGTGCTGCTAAAAACTGGAGCATTACTATGGAAAATTTCCAGTTGATCCAGGTATAATAGCAAATTCTTTTTAAAGAGATCGATAATATCTTAAAATTTGATGTTGGTACCACATAGATGCTTCTTGAGCAGAAAAATGGAAGACGGCGTCTGAGCGTGTGCGTTTCGAAGGGGATCCCAAAGAAAATGTGACGAAAAGAGACATCCTGTTGTAACCAATAAACTTAACTCTCTGGACACCCACCCATGTTTGACTGATATGCTGTCTTGTAGGCCATGTTGTGTCATTGATGGTGATAATTATAAGATCAGTCAGGAGAAATAACATAGGAAGAACCAACGAGGAAGGCTTATTAGGACACCTTACAAACACATAAAAGGAAGACACACCTCTTTGCCTGTTTTGGGTTGTTGAAAAATAATACCATACCTTGAAAACAGTCTCTCAAACTGGAAATGTTGGAGAGACTTTGGAAAGACTGGATTTTGCTGATTGGTTTGATGTCACGCAGGATCAATGATTGTACCCAAATATGTGTCAGTTCTTTGCCCCATTAGACAAAAAACCCCAAAACAAAACACAACCGCCCCACACACAATTATCCATGCACTTTAAAGACGATGCACATGCTCAGTTATGCACATCCATACTGTGTGCACAGATATGTTGCCAGCTTGGTTACAGGTTCTCTCCTGGCTGGTACTGAGGCTCTGTGGAGGTAAAGTAATCCTCCAGGAAGCCCTGCAGGTACTCGAAAGTTGGCCTCTCCTCAGGTTCCTTCCTCCAGCAGCTCAGCATGAGCTCATGAAGGGATTCGGGGCACTCTGCTGGACACGGCATCCTATAACCACGCTCCACCTGGTCTAACACCTCCCGGTTCACCATACCTGGTAGAGAAAATAAAGCATTATGAAAGGTATGCGGCTGAAAAACTATATCCATAGTTGGAGTATTAAGTAAGACATCTTTATGCTATACACAGAATACAGAATTATTAGGTAAGTGTGTATTCTGATCTTTTTATTATTTTTATGCATATTTTACAATTATTTTCTTTCACTAAGTTATTAATAAAACTCCTAAGGGCTGACAGTACAGCAGCACTTACTCTTAAGACACATGTAATCCAAACTGGATCAAAATATAGGCCAAAATTTTTAACTTTTTCATATTTGTATGATGTCACAGAGTATTTAGAGAAGTCAACCAGCTCTTATTATGGCTGTCTTGCAAATCTTTCAGGTCACTCAGTCAGAAACCTTTCTGAGTGCATGCTAACTGATGCCCCCTAGTGGTTACACTTTTTATTTTTATTGTGAAGCAGCCAAACTCATTTTTTATAAAAACACAAGACTTTCAGAAGCCCATTATTCTCTGGTGCCACGATATTCCAGAACTGGAACGCTGAAACACGACCACAAATCAATAAGATTGATACAATGAAGCATTAGGAGCGAG